TGGACATGCTTATTACATACGAATGACAAAAGAAATAGTTAAAATACAATTTGTGTTCGAAACATTGCCAGTACCAGAACAGTACCCTTTCAACGGTGTTTGCTAAACGTGTCCATGATGCATCATCTACAAACCATGCAATTCACTCCCTCGGGAAGCAACAGCTAAAGGGCCTCTTCGGGACCGCGAACCAAACCCTTAACGAAAGCGCCTAACAGCCTGGACCGGGCACTTGCTGCCAATCCCACTTAGCGTGACGTCATTATTGTGGCTCCACCCATCGTCTGTAATGTGTCTTTGCAGAGAGTAAAGTCTCTTGTTGCATTTCCGAAATCCCTAACACTTTGATACTCTTTGGTCATCTTCTATTTTCTAAACATGGGACGTCAGGACTTTGGATTGGCTAGCGAGTATACCGCTGCCAGGCGCAAAACAGTGAAACTTTCCTACACCTCAGACTACGCACGGTGCTGTGGGAATCACATCTAGAATGTGCATATAATCGAGTGGCTTTCTCTCTTTCTCTCACTCTCTCTCTTATACTCCCTGCCTCCTTTCCCCTCTCTCTCTCTCGCTCTCACTCTCCCTCCCTCTCTCTCTCTCTCTCTTTCTCACTCACTTTCTCTCTCTCTATCTCTCTCTCACTCTCACTTGCTCTCTCTCCCTCCCCCTCTTTCTTTCCCTCCCTCCACTCCCCTCTCTCTCTCTCGCTCTCACTCTCCCTCCCTCCCCCCCCCTCTCTCTCTCTCTCTCGGCAATATGAATAAACATGACTACACCCCCCCCCCCCGAAGCTGGTTAAAGTTCAACAAAAATGTCAATATGACATAGGAATATCCATTCATAAATTCATATAGGGTGACTATCCTCATAGTTTATGCCCCTGGAAATAATTGGTAACAAAATGGTTATTCAAACCAGATATATTAACTCTGCACATCAAAAGGTCATACACAGAAACAGGACCGAGGACACAATATCTGGATTAACCTACCAAATTAGAAACATCTCTAACCTGATTACTTTCAGAATAAAATTAAAGGAGCATCTTTTGAATTGTCAGTCACATCAAACATTTAAAAGCAAAACCAAACCATCTATCTTTATTTCGAATGATGTGGCCAATTTATTTGATTTTGTATATATAATTCTCCTTGTAATAAACGATATTATTTTTAGTTATTTTGTATTGCTATGCAATGTAACTGCCTAAGAACATTGCAAATAATGGAATTAAGTGTTTCTCTCTCTCTCTCTCTCTCTCTCTCTCTCTCTCTCTCTCTCTCTCTCTCTCTCTCTCTCTCTCTCTCTCTCTCTCTCTCTCTCTCTCTCTCTCTCCCTCTCCCTCTCTGTCTCTATATTCAGTCATCAATATTTCTTTATATTTATTCTCCGCATATTTTCACTTTTCCTTGCCTGTTTTCATTAATAGCCTGTTGTAATGACCATGTAGCAACAATGCAATTCCACAAATATATCAAGTAATTACATGCAGGGCAGTTCGACTCTTGATAAAAGAAATATGCTTTCATCACACTTCGCTTCTTGCGCGGTGTCAATGTTTTCTAGCAGTGTCCGAATGCAATCACATGGTAAATATTTGATTTTTAAAGACCTGTAGTCAAAATAATATTCACGGATAATCTAAAGCTATAATTCCTTTGAGTTTTACTTAATATAAGGCAGTGTTGTCCAAACTGGGGTCCGCAACATAGATCATAAGGGTTCGTGAACAAACACGGAACACACACGCCAGACATGAACTTGAGTATTTTTTAAACATTTTGTTATTAAATCATCTTTTTATTCGTGTATTAAATTCGAATTTATTGACCAACATAATTAGTATATCATTTGCATTACCCAAAATTATTAATGCATATTAATACAAGAAGGTAATAAATGGTACAACAGGTGAAATTATAAGATATTTACAATATATATATATATATATTTTTTTTGTATACGATGCTGAAGTCTACGGATTCTTTTTGGGACGCGGTGTTTATGCCTGGAAATGGTGCAGATTTATAAGGAGTTTTCATTTTGTTTGAGCTTGTAAATTTTCTTTGGAATATTGTTGCAAAGAGATATAAAAACATTAAGATTACAACCAGCACTGGTACTGTCGCCTGTTTAGCAATGTATTTCCCCTATTAGAATGAATTATTTCAACTGGCATCTGTAGTGATGGACGAAACTGTCACACATGCGCAGAGGCAAGGTGGCCGAGCCTCTCCTCGACCAGATGATCGACTCCGCCTCTACAATGATGTCATGAACTCGAAACGCCCGGCATCGAGCCCGGGACGCGACCGCGTCTGGGGCATTGGCTGGGACGTCCCTAGTTTACTGGCACAAAGATGATGCTCTTTGAAACATATTTGCCCATTACATGCACATTATTGGAACCTGTTCACACAATTCGATTTATGTCAGTTCGTATGCCTCTACCTTGAATCATCTCACTTTTTGCGGAGACTTGTCTTCACTCTGTTAC